GATGCCAACAAAGCTCCGAAGTCCAAAACCTTGTTCAGATCAAAGCTGTTACAGTAAGGTAAAAGAAAGATCAGAAAACGAACAATAAATTTAGACTGATATTTGGTTCTGGCACTTTCCCAGTCCATAACCACTCTCACCAGAGAAATCACTAAAGCCAAACCAGAAAAAGAATATGAGAACATATGCAACCTTTGAAATGAAATGCTTGACACAAATTTAGACTGATAAGGCCATGCCAGGATGTTTCCGAGAGTGCCATCTATCCCAGTCTCGGACATCTTCATCTCAACGGCAGCAAATAACTCATTCACAGATGTGTGCTTAACATTCTGAGCAATGGCGCCTATTGCATGAGCTGCAGCAACCCTCGTATCCCAATTCTTACTACGAAGGTATTGAGCAACCTAATCAAATAATTAAACTCACATAAGCAAATGAGAATCATAAGGTGCAAAAAACATTAGCACTTCTTGAAAAACTAATATCACAGCTGTAAGAAATGAAAATATTATTACTATTTTATGGGACATATCATAATTTAAGGATCTTATTTAACTACTCGCCAAACCTTCACCTAGCCTATCACTTCCTGAAATCGTTATCATTATAGCACACGTAAATAGCATCTGTCAAGCACCATTTACGGCCAAAACCCTAGCACAGGGCAGCCTCAGACACTGCAGCATCAAAAGCTAACAATACCAGACAAACATTGGGTTTCTGCACCAAAAGGAGAGCCCCTATCTGGACATCTTCCTTCTCTCTTGTTTTCAATGAAATTTATGTCGCAGAAGTCCCATCATTTTACTTTCAAAATACAGCGATATTCATGCACATCCCTACTCTGCACATTAGCTTCGGCACTACCTCAAAGAGCAATATCGAACAGCACGATCTAAAAGAGCGATTCCCAAAACTTGTCATCATGCCCATATGAAATTTCTAATGCAGAACGCCAAGCTAACAGCAGTGAGACATATCTTCCTCCACGATTAGATTAGATGAGTTGTCCCAATGGCATTGCAGAGAAAATAAAAATACCTTCTTTAAGAGAGAGGCCAAGTCCCGGGGATGCGACTTGGCGATATCTCCAATCTGGCGAGCCGCGGCGAACCTCGTGGACTGAGTCGAACCAGCTAGAAACACAATTTCGTTAAGGGAAAAAAGAGCAAAATTCACCCAATCAACAGCCACCAACCGAGCAAACACCAGATCCAAACAAGCACGAGACGAAAAGGATACTGTCGAGAAGAGTGAGCAGCCGATTGAGTCGCGACGATTGCTGAGCCATAGCTGCCGCACCACACACCACCAACGCAACAATGCCTTCAATCCGCAACCCGCGGCTGCATCCTCAATCATCCAATCACCCCCCCGATTCGCGGGATCCCCAGCAACGGCAACGGCTGCGGCGCTCGGTATCAAAACGGCGGCTCCGCGCCAACCGCGCGGGCACTTCGCATCAGCGGGGCCGCGGCGCCGGCGAAAGCGCGACCGGGTCCCCTCTGGAACGGAGGGGCCAAATTCGGATCGGGGAGGAATTCGGGGAGAGGAGGGGGAAGCGCGACGACGGAGCGGCTGGGAAGCGGGGGGGATCTTCTTCAACGGAGGAGGGAAGCGGCGGAAGGAGGAGAGAAGAGGGAATTAGGGATTCGGGAAGAACCTCTGAAAATGGCGACGGTTAGGGCAAAAGGGAATATGGAAGCTCCCTTCTTCTCCTCTCCTCTGTCTCTCTTCTTCTTCGTCGTCGTCGAAGCGTTTTCACTCTATCTCTCTCCCTCGCGTATCTGATAATATAAGCTCCCGAATTTTCTTGTGCATGTGCATTTTCCAACCCAAAAAAAGGCAAAAGAAAAATTTAATGAATGAAATTATTATTGTTCTTCTTTTTTTCAATTCTTGAAATTATCCGAGCAAATATTTTCGTGGCACGAAATTTCTTTGCATCCGAATATAATCTTTGTATAGGATTCGTACTTAGGTTCCTTTATAATTAGTAATATTTTAATAAATGATGAGGATTAATGGTATGTATTTCATTTGGACCTTTTGTGTTTTTTTATTGCGACGGCAAATTCTTCTTGAATCCAAGACGGCTATTTTTTTCAATTAAATATTGGAGACACGGGTTATCTATGAAGACGAAATATAATATCGTATAAGGAATAAAAATTGACGGATTGTGTATAAGATATAGTTAATAACCGATTATCTGCTATAAATAACATCATATAAGGAATAAATAATGATAGATTGTGTACAAGATATAATTAATAACCGACTACTTGCTATAGGGTCAAATATTATTTTTGCATTGTTAAACTAAGGTTCATCAAGAAATTTTTGCAAGAAATCGGACGAATTTAGAAATAATGATACAAATGGTCCTGAATTTTGGCCAAATATGCAATGTACTCCATAAACTTTTAATTTGTTCAGTGTGATAATTGAATTTGACTCCAATGTGTAATGTAGTCCCTCAACTTTTAAATTATTCAATATGGTCTATAGACTTTTTGTATATATTCAATTTAATATCTGAACTATATGAGAATGTTAAATGTTGTCCTTCTATTAATTAAGCTTAGGGACGAAATTGATCATTTTTATATAATTTAAAGACCATATTAAACAATTTAAAAGTTCATGTATCATATTACATATTGGGCTAAAGTTAGGGACCACATTGAATATATTAAAAATTTAGGGACTATATTGCACCTTAGGTCAAGCATCAGAAACCATTTATGCCATTTTCCCTTAAAATTTATTGGGGTTAATACCACGAAAGACCCCAAACTGATACACATGTGATAAATTTAATCAAAACTATTTTTTTTGACCGTAAAAATCCCAAATTGATACACTTATGACAATTTTACTCCGAACTATTTTTTTGACCATAAAAATATCAAATTAGTACACATGTGACAATTTTATCCCGAATTAATTTTTTGACCACCAAAAACCCCAAACTGGTATACTTGTGACAAATTTACCCTTCGTTAGTTTCCGTTAAATTTTATTGTAAAATTGCTAAGTTTGATGGCACGTGATAGTTTACAGGTGTACCAGTTTGGGGTTTTATCCCTCTATTTATCACAAGTTTACTAATTTGTGATTTTTCGTAATATTAATCCAATTTAACGGATACTAACGAAGGGTAAATTCGTCACAAATGTACCAGTTTGGATTTTTAATGGTCAAAAAATTAGTTTTGGGTAAAATTATCGCATGTGTATCAGTTTGGGATTTTTGGTGATCAAAAAATTAGTTCGGGGTAAAATTATCACAAGTGTATCAGTGTGGGGTTTTTGATGGTAAAAAAAATAGTTCGAGGTAAATTTATCACAAGTGTACCAGTTTGAGATTTTTGGTGATCATAAAATTAGTTCGAGGTAAAATTATCACAGGTATATCAGTTTGGAGTTTTTCGTAATACTAACTCAATTTATTATATGTTAAAAAGAAATGGATTGTGGACAGTCAATGGACATCTTGGCCTCTTAGATGAATTTTCAATGGTTTTAACCTTTTTCAATCTACTACTTTATTCTTACTTTTTACCTTACCTGTAGGAATTCGCAAGCAACTACCGAGACTACAATGGTTAGGGCAAACAATGAAGCTCCCGCTCTCCTCTTTCTCTTCGTAGTCGTCAAAGCACTCTCTCCCGCTCTCGCATATGATGATATAAGCTCCCAATTTTTTTTATATGCAATTGTATTTTCAATCAAAAACGGAAAAATATAATAAATAAAATTATCCTTTTTGATAAATACTGAAATTATCCAAGCAATAATTTTCGTGGCACAAAATTTCTTTAAATCCGAATATAAGCTTTTATAGGATTCATAATTAAGTTCCCTTATATTTAGTAATATTTTATTAAAAAATAAGGATTAATGGTGTGTATATTTCACCTAGACCTTTTGCTTTTTTTATTACAACAACAAATTCTTCTTAAATCCAAGACAGCTATTTTTTTCAATTAAATATTCGAGACACGAGCTTTTATGAAGACGAAAAATAACATGAATAAAAAAATGATAGATTGTGTATAAAATTTAGTTAATAACTGACTATAAGCTATAGATGACATCATATAATGAATAAAAATAGAGTCAAATATTTTCTTTTACATTGTAAACTAAGGATTATCTAGAAATTTTTGAAAGAAATAAGGCTCGTTTAATTTATTATGTGTTAAAATGAATGGAATGTGAATAATCAATGGGTGATATGGGCCTCTTGGATGAATTTTCAATGGTGGTAACCTTTTTTCAATCTAGTACTTTATTCTTACATTTTACCATACTTTTAGGGATCCACAAATACCTATTTGAGATTGAAAATGGAATAGTTAGGGCAAAAGTGAGTGAGGGCAAGAGAGATGAGTTGAGTTTAAATAAGTTGTAAACCCATTTATGACCTATTTACTACTCATTTAATACCCATATTATATATATACCAATTTATGACCCATTTACTAAATATAACTAACCCATTTATGACTCATTTACTAATATATGGGTTAAGAAATGGGTTTATGACCTATTTTGACAAGTCTAATTATTGGTGTTGGCGATGGAGAGAGATACGATTTCTGTTGCTCACTGTGACGCAACATCTCTTGCGCTCATTTCGAGCCATGACCGAAACTTGTTCAAACTCGGATTCTTCACTTCAAGCTTTTCATCATTCGATTACTGCAACCACATTGAAGCTAAGTTATCTGTCGTTCTCTAGTTTTCATTTTTGGATTTAGTCTAAATCATTTAGCCAACATTTCCAATGGCTTTCTTCATCAATTTCAGGCACCATAGCCATCGTTGATTGTCACCACTTGCCATTCTCGAGTTGTGTGGAAACTCCTATGTTTAACTCTATTTCCTGATCGAAGTGCTCGAAGAACTCGATTGTTGATCCATCCACCTTCACCGGATCTTCATCACTGACGCCTCTAACACCTCTACTCTCCAACACTCGCCAGTTGAAGCTAAAAAGTCAGTTTCGCTAAGCTGAGAACATATTTTTCTATTTCGGTCCTTTTACATGCTGAACAGAGACCAAGAAATCTTTAGCTGCCGATTCATTGAAGATTGTCTGCCATTAAGTTCCTGTTAGTGATTTGAATATGTTTCACTGTGTTTGTGATGATTAAAATATGGATTATGGATTTACATCTTCATCTAAGTTCTTTGGCCCATATGTCCACCACCTGTTTGATGAAATTCATGAACCAGATCAGTAGATATGTAAGTTGTGATAAAAGAAACTTCACAGCCATTTTTCATTATGCTTCCTCTCGTGTTGAAGTACTTTTGTGTTTGGCTATAATCGAGAAGACTTTAGGCATGTTTGCGTGATTGTTGTTGAAAAATTTCTTATTGGCTGAGACCTATCTATGCATATTGTTCAACTTGATCATTGCCTATCTGTATGTACACTTGATGGCTTTGATTCATGTCTGTTCTCATTACTCTCCGCCACATGTAAATTCGTGTTAGTAAAAGTTTCATTGGTGAACAAAGCATTTGAACCTTTGCCATTTAGTTTTATCACGTGATTCATTGGATTGAATTTCTTGCTCGCCGGCCATGCCTTTTTCTTTTTTGATTGATGATGCTTGGATTGATATCAAATTATTACCTCCTGACTTGGCTGTGGACTTAGAAGTTAATGAACCCTCGCATGAACTTGTTTGCTCAAGATTGGAATAATTCTCGTTCAAAAAATTGTGCTAGGTGACTGGAATTAATGAGTTCCCCGGTTGATGAGATGTTTGATGGTGTTAATTTTTTGAAGCTAAAACAACAACGAACAAAGCTAAGTGAATGATGAACATAGCAAAGAGTTGATCATGTCTCTGTACGAGTAATTGCAGAATGTTGGAAAAAATGAATAAATGAAAGAGGCAAAGGGAAACTTAGCAAAGCAGGAATCTGTGTTTTGGATATGATGGACTGGGAAAGGGACTGTAAAAGAAATAGAGGAAATAAAAGAAATAAAAATATAAAAACGAAAGCTATAAAAAATTAATTTAAAAATATAAAAATGATAAGGAACTTCAAGTCTTAGTTAGGTAGTAGAATCTTAGAAATAATTTTAATTGAATTCCAATTAGTTTAGGTTTACACTGTTTGGGAAATTCCATTTCTTGATTTTTAGGACAATTTGATTTTTGGATAGCTTTTCCTTGGGGAAAAAAAGAAATATTGAAATATAGAAAATGTCAAAAAAAGGAAACTTAAAAAAGTAATATGTTATTAATGGTTGCGGTTAGGAGGTTGATCGGCTTTATCGATTATATGCATCAATCTTTTCAAAGGATCTCCTCAATTTGTCTAAATTCCTTGTTGGTCATTTCTTTTATGTGAACATTCTAATGCTTTTCATTGATTGTGATGCGTGAACGAATGACATGAGATGATGGAAGAACCGAACCATGGAAGGATTGAAGAACGTTCGAGATCTTCATGTGTTCCTATTAGGATTAGGGTAAATTTTATGATTTGGACTCTAGATGAAGCTTGAGCAAACTTTTATTCTTAGTTGAATAACTGATATAATTAGCTTAATATTATTTCCTGCATGAGTGTTCCTGCAAAAAATTCAAAGTGTACAAGTGATTGTGCTCTCTTTGTGATTTCTTTAGGGATTGATGCCTCTTGTGAATGCCTTCAATTGGAAGGCTTGCCACTGATTATCAAAGGACACCAGGATGCTTGGACTGTATAGCTTACGGTGAAGAGACACCAAGGACATGCTGGCGAGTGTCTAGATTACGGTGGAAGATTGGATGGCCGAGAAGATCTGAGGAACATTGGGCCATGATTGGTTCGCTCGGATAGAGAACTTCCTTAGGATGATGTGGCCGCAAATTGATGGATGCCAAGAGAAAAAAACACTAGAACACGTCCTTAAGATCAACGCCAGGAGGAGGGGCCACCGTGAAGAACATCGCAAAGGGAATGCAGGAGGGAGACTAAAACGAGAAAACCTCCGTCGCAAGAAGATTTCGCCGAGAGGGAACCTGCGGGAGAGCCGAAAAATAAGAACACTAGTGAGCGAGTGATGAGCAAATTCTCGAACTCCTGTCTCAGTCCCGCCTGGGCGGTGGCTCGAACTGGCTTACACCACGAGCTGGATTCTGTCTTGGTGTGGTGCCCGGTTATTAGGCGTCAGATGAAGGCCCAGAGTCGGAGCTGCAATGGATCATTGTGTTGATCGCGGAAGGGGCCACCTACAGTGGACCGGTTGATAGAATGATACCGTCGGAAGCGGTGCTTGCGGATCGTGGTGCTTACGGATGACAGTACTCGTGGATGATGAAACGCAGCAGTAAACCGCCAAAGTGGATCTCCAGGATGAGGAGGGCGGACGAGACCGCGGACACTAGAGACAGAGCTTGCTCAGCCTGAGAGTGTGTGTTCATCGTGAGTTTTTTCCTCTCCCATTAGTGTCGCACTCTCTGCCTTTTAACACCCGCGTACAAGCATCTATATATGTCAAAAAATCTGCTTCCTCAATCTCCGGGATTCGCAATCCTTGTCAAGGCAAGACTGGCTGGCCTTAATCTCCCCTCGTTTCCTTTCTCATTCACCTTCTCTTTTCCTTAAACACCTCCTCGCATCTTCGGAAACGGGAGACTGATTTGGATTTGATTTTGACCACTTTAGAGAGTTCTTTATTTGTTGTTATGGTTTTCTATCTTTTGGAGCTTGGAGGAAGCGCGGCTATGGTGATGATGATGCCGTTGATGACGAGGTAGATCACGACTAGGAAAAGAGAAGCTCTCTTGTTTCTTACAATGGCAAATCTGAAAGGAGGGATGAGACCACCGTGGGCGGGCCTGGGAGCTGCCATATGGCTCCAGATAGCCTCCGGCAATGCCTACAACTTCCCTCTTTACTCTCCACTCTCTCAAAATCGGTCGTTGCGTTCAACCAGCACCAGCTCACACCATGCTCGGCGTCGCCAACGACATCGGCGAGAACGTCGGTCTCCTTCCCAACTTCTTCATCAACAAGTGCCCTCCTTGGGCTGCCCTTGAAGAAAGATAGAGAAGAGAGTAAGGGAGGAGAGAGACAAGACACCTGTCAATCAATGAATGGCGTGATTTATCACTGACTTGGCAAGTTAGGTGGACGCAATATTTTTCTTTGTTCCCCTCTTAGAGTATAATATTTTAGTGAGTTTATAGATTGAGAGAGAGTGAGAGTCCTTGCTTTCTCGTTTACATTAAACAATAGGTTATTATAAAAAAGCTTCTTTTCCTGACATATCCACTTCGTTCTGACGTTGGGTTCTTGATATCGGCTATGTCGGTTACAAGCAAACACGTGGCTTTAGAAAGCATGAGATTTGCTTTAATGAGTCAGACATCTAGTTGCTAAGTGTTTGGTCATCTATGGATATAATTCAGTTGGATTTAAGAAAGGTAAAACATGTAATATGGCACAGAAGGCATCTCATCATTAAGTAGGTTTATGTATAAAGAAATTGAAAGTCCAGTTCTCTTTCTCTACACTGAAATGATGTCGATCCTATGTTTTGTGACTTCATAATTAATTTTTCGTTTCTTTTTCTTCTTTGTTTTTTTTTTTCTCAATTAAAGGAAGGGGGCAGGTAGCTTTTAGAATAAGTCGAATAGAAGCGGGAAATACCTAATAAATTGGTGCATTAGGTTAAAATCTTCTGGTCCCAGTCTTTCTACTTTGCAAATCTAAAATGTGCTGATGGTGTCATTTAAATAATTCAGAGTTGCATACTTTCAGCTCTATGGAGGTTACCACTGATAATTTTGCACCTTCTTCTGACCCCATTTTTGCTTACATCTGGGCTAATACACCATTGCTAGACAATGATGACAATTACAGACTAAGAGGGTCTTTTATTAATCTATTAGCGAGATACTTGTGCTTCGTATGTTTTCAGTACCTACATAAAGTACTTGTTTTGTTGCAAAACAATTTGTATCCGCATAAGACAGATACTATATTTTCCTTATGATGGATCGAGGGACTGGCCCCAGCATCGTTTCTGGAGACACGCAAGAGTAATAATTACATTGATTGTTGTTACGTGTATTTTTGTCCAGTTGCGGCCGCTAAGGGCCCGTTTGGTAACGTGCCAAACAGTGAAAATTTCTGTTCTTTTGTTCCCAGAAATAGTTTGGGAACAGAAATGCGTTTGGTAAACTTTTTGTTCCCGGGCACATTTTTGCAAAAATTTGTGCCCAGAAACAGTTTTGGAAGAGAAACAAGAAGTAAAAAAAAGTTGCTTCTTATTTCTCGGCACAATTTTGAGAATGAGTTCTTTTTTCTTCTTTTTCTTTTTTTTCTTTTCTTCTTTGTGTTGTTCTTCCCTGGGCTGTGGCCGGTCGTCGGCGACCGACCATAGCCCAGGGCCGACGAGGGCGTCACGGCCCTCGCCGGCGGAGGCGAGGGTGAGGGCTGGACCCTCGCCGTCGATCATGGCGAGGTCGGCCTCGCCCAAATCGAGCAAGGCCGAGCCTCGTCGTCGCGACCAACGGCGAAGCCGACCTCGCCGTCGCGACCGACGGCGAGGCTCAGCCTCGCCTGATCTGGGCGAGGCCGACGGTGAGGCAGGCGGCCAGGGCGACGGCGAGGGCTCGACGCCCTGGCCTGTGGCCGGTCGCCGGCACCGGCGACCGGCCATGGCCAAAAAAGGGAAGGGTAGAAAGAAAAAAAATATTAAACAATTTAAAATATTATTAATAAAAAAAATTTGTGTAGTTATCAAACGTATTTCTGTTCTTTTCTATCCCAGGAATAGAAATTTTGGACAGTTACCAAACGCCTTCAAATGCTCAGAAATTGTTTCCGGGCTCAGAATAAAAAAGAATTATTTCTGAGTAGAAATAGTTTCCGGGCACAGAATGATTGTCATGCGCACCCTAAAAACAATCTTCTTCTTCTTCTTCTTCCAAGAATGAAATATTAAAAAATTGCCTGAAAACTACAAAATATTATTAATAAAAAGAAAAAAGAGAAAGAAATATTTAAAAATTCAAAATATTATTAAAATATTATTAATAAAAAGAAATTTTGTGCAGTTACCAAATATATTTATGTTCTTTTTCTATTCCAAGAATAGAAATTTTGGAGAGTTATCAAACGCTTTCAAATGCATAGAAATTATTCTCGGGCACGGAATTAAAAAGAATCATTTCTGAGCAGAATCAGCTTCCGGAAACATAATAGTTGCCAAACGCGCCCTTAGTGCATAAATATGACTTCAAATCAAATGCAAATAGGTTCTAATATGCCTCAAAGCCTCGAGAGCTTACCTACTAAATGACGCCCAGTCAAATAATTGAAAACAATGAGGAAATTGCATGAAAACTTTCTTGAAATAGAACATATGGATTACATTATTAGATGTCATGCTAGCTCGATAACTGAAATTGAATATAAACTTCTTAATGGAGATAAGTGAAGTACATGAAAAAGCTTATAATGACTAGAAAGCTTTTTATAAAAAAAAGAGAAAATATTGGATTATGAAATTAAAATAATTTGAATATGGAATTTAAACTTAGATAAAATCCAATCACAATCAATATGTTATGGATAATTTTCTCCTCTTCAAAATCTAATGAACTATTCGTGATTTCTGATGTCTTCATTGATGTCTTGTGCTTATTGACGATAGCGTGTTGTCTGTGTTGAGCGTGCATATGCTTTACTTTGAATCTTGTTATATCTTTAAAGTCATTCATTATGTGTGTAGATCTTACCCTCAAGAATTTCTAATTGCCTCGTGATTTATGCGCTACTTTGGGGATGATTTGCAACCGCTCTAGATCCTTTCGCTACAGTTATTCCTCAGCCAATGGTTCTTTTTTGAGTCAGTCTTCAACTTTTGTTTTGAGTCTATCGATCGTAAGCATGTGTAATGAACTTCACTTAAACTCTATCCATCGGAAACTCATGATCGCCACATGTTATATTGGCGTGCTTTGCTGGCCACTGGCATTGTTATGATCTTATGAATGATCAGCTTGTTAGCCAATTTTTCAATTGAGCGTTATAGGTTAAGCGTGTTGTCGTGGCTTATTTTGGGCCATTAACTTCATTATGTTTGAGGTCAATTTCTGGGCCCCGTGTTAACAATTGTATAGTTTTTAATCATATTATGAGATGAAACACTAACTACTAATTTTCTTAGTTTGTAGTGACTAAAATTCATTTGGAGGACCTAAGCCTTACAAAAACTTACATATTTTCAGTACATTCGTACATTATAATATATAGATTGATGATTGAATTTTTCTTTTTTTGATAGATTATGGATAGCATTAGTAGATACAATTGATTAAGCAATTTCGACAATTTTTGTCTTTACGTGTGGTTGTTTGATAAATAAATAGTTTATCAATCAAGCGGCTGGATGAGTAGCAAGCATGGTTTGGTGGTGTGAGGGTAGGTACAAGAGGTAAGCTTCACTGTTACAATATACTTATAAGCTTTTCGCAGGAAAAACTTACATTTTATTTTGTATCACACTTGTAATTTGAAAACTTTGCTAAATCACTATTTTTTCTTAGTCGAGGAATGTCTTCTTTGTTGAATTTTTATTGATATTAAGATTAAAAAGATAATATTCGTCCTTTTTATATTATGTGTTTGGTTATAATTTCATAGTATTGTCAAATCCTTGCCCTAAATTTGTTTTCAAGGGAATAAGATTGATCCGGAAAAATATAATTTACATATAGTTGAAATTGAGTTTAATTTTAAAAGACTATTAATAATGAAAACTCAAAATGAAAAAGCAAAACCAACAGCTACATCAATAGATTGACTACAAATTACAAAAAGAAAAGGTACTGTTACATTAGAAAAGCAAGAATATCTATGATTGATTTGAAAGAAAAAGAAACGGAAGAAAAAAGAAAAAAAATACAACTTTTAAAAAATTATACGCTTTATATAAACTTATGGGGAAAATAATCATAAAAAGAAAAGAAAAAATTTGAAAAAAATGGAAAAATTTAAAAGAAATTAAGGCTCCGTTCGTTTCGCGAAAAATGTGATGTTTTTAAAAAATATTTTTCAGGAAGCCATTTTTAAGGAAAATAATAATATTTTTCGGTATTCGCCAGAAACCTCAAAATGATTTTCCCTCTAGCGATGCTCGAGCTTGCCTGTGGCCGGTCGCTGGCCTTTGTCGTGGCGGGCAACTGGCCGAAGAAGAAAGTAAATAAAAAATCGTTTTGAAAAATAAAAAATTATTAAAAGTAGTGTATGGAGGAAAATTTGATTTGATTTTCCATACCAAAAGGCAAAAAATATTTTTCGGGTCTTTTTCAGATTTTAGTCGAACACTGGAAAATTGTGTCATTTTCCTGAAAAATGACTTTTGAAAAACATTTTCCAAAAATTTTACGTTTTCCGCGATATCAATGAAGCCTGATATTTTATAGTGAAGAACCGTATAGCTTTAAAGAGTAGACAAATTGGTAATTCAAAATGAACGAAGACCCCATGTTATATGGGAGATAAAAATACAACCAGAAGA